TGAGACTCCATTCGTTTTTCTTTTCATTTTGGATAAAGAGGTTAAAAGTAGCACTATACCAGTATCGGTTTTGGTGCCAATAATAAGCATTTGCACAAGTACTTGTACTCGTGCAAATGCTCCGATACTAAAACCGATACCTTTAAGACCGCAGACTGCAACCGCCACCTTTATGGAGAAAGACGGAATAGAACGTCATGCGAGGGTTGCTTCAGGATGTCTGATGGTCTCACACACACATCAGTTAGGGTGTGGCAGTGTGAGACGTGACATCCAGACTGCAGAAGCTCTGGTAAGTGCTTTGCTGCTACAACACATGGGCAGAGGCCGGTGAGCTGTGCGTTATGTCAAAAATAAATGCATCCGAGGACAATGATTGGTTTTATGATTGCCGGCCTACCACTACACCACAGGGGCAGAGGCCGGTGAGCTGTGCGTTATGTCAAAAATAAATGCATCCAAGGACAATGATTGGTTTTATGATTGCCGGCCTACCACTACACCACCAGGGCAGAGGCCGGTGAGCTGTGCAGTATGTCAAAAATAAATGCATCCGAGGACAATGATTGGTTTTATGATTGCTGGCCTACCACTACACCACCAGGGCAGAGGCCGGTGAGCTGGGCGTTGTGTCAAAAATAAATGCATCCGAGGACAATGATTGGTTTTATGATTGCCGGCCTACCACTACACCACCAGGGCAGAGGCAAAGCAAATAAGTGTAGTGAAATAAAGAAGTTAAAAACTTAAAAAATTATTGAATTTTAGATTTCATCTGTAAATAAATATATTTTATACACTGCTGGGCTACCACTAAATCACCAGGGCAAAGGCAGAGTAAATATTAATAAACGTGTAAATAAAATTAATTCCGATACTTATGTATTCATCCACTTCTGGGCCAATCATTAGAAAAAATAAAATTGATTTAGTAATTAATATTAAATATAGGATTTCAATTTTCTGGGTGTGTGTATTGTGATATTCATTTATTATATTGGTATTGGTAATTGCTATCGGCGAGTACTTGAGAGAGTATTGGTACTCATACTTAGTCTTAAAAAAATGGCATTGGTGCATCCCTAGTTGAGACCTGGTTCACACTGGATGTGACTTTGGAATTTCAAAGCCACAGATCAGTGCGATTTGTACCTCCTAATTTCACTGCAGCTTGCGACTTAATATAACTGAAGTCCAATGCAAGTTGCAATGAAATTGGAAAAAAGTAGTGCATGAACTATTTTTGAAATCGCGCTACTTCAAATTGCACTGATTAAAATGTTAAGAAATACATTAGATGCGACTTCAGGTGTGATTTTTAAATCCCATGTCACACCGGCGTGAACCTTGACTGAACTGAGAAATAGTCTTTGATATGTGTGTTTTAGGAGGCTGTAGAGAAGAGATGGCTATAGATAAATAGGTACAACGTATGTAGAAGGATTTGTTTCTGTGTATCACCTGAGGCTGGTCACTTTGGTATATGCAAGGATTTACAACCACTTTAAAGTTTTCTCTGCATAAAATAAAAAAATAAATAAAAAAAAACAACAACTGATCAACCTGCCAGAAATCCAGTGAGCTTCTAACTTTCTGTGCTCAAACAGTATTATCAGCCTTGCACAGGTTGCGCAGGTCTTCTCTGTGAATTACAGAACATCTTCCCCTAGTGCTAGGGAGAGCAGAAGGTATTTTGTAGTCCAAATTGGGAACAAGAAGTCTAGGGTGACAACTAGAGATGAGCGAATCGAACATGGCGAAGTGGAATTCGTTTCGAATATTGGGAAATATTCGATTCACGCCGAATCCGAAAATTAGCCAACTTCGGATGCACGAATCTAATTTTCCCAAAAATGGCGGCGACATGTGTGGCGACGGAGCGGGGATCTCTGGGAAGGCGCGCAGACAAGGCGCGCTGACCCATAATGCATTCATTCATGACATATGATCGCATTAGCCAATCAGCAGCCAGCCAGCCAGCACTGTGTAATGGTGGAGCTATAAATTGCGGCCATCTTAGAATTCTCCATTAGCCTCCGGTCATTCAAGAGAGACAGACCTGTCTGTATTAGGGACAGAGTTAGGGCCAGAGAGACTTTAGGGCACAGAATCGTTACTTAGGGACACAGAATCGTTACTCAGGGACACAGAATCGTTACTCAGGGACACAGAATTGTTACTCAGGGACACAGAATTGTTACTCAGGGACACAGAATTGTTACTCAGGGACACAGAATTGTTACTCAGGGGACACAGAATTGTTACTCAGGGGACACAGAATTGTTACTGAGGGACACAGAATTGTTACTGAGGGACACAGAATCGTTACTGAGGGACACAGAATCGTTACTGGGACACAGAATTGTTACTCAGGGACACAGAATTGTTACTGAGGGACACAGAATTGTTACTGAGGGACACAGAATCGTTACTGAGGGACACAGAATTGTTACTCAGGGACACAGAATCGTTACTCAGGGACACAGAATTGTTACTGAGGGGACACAGAATTGTTACTGAGGGACACAGAATCGTTACTCAGGGACACAGAATCGTTACTCAGGGACACAGAATCGTTACTCAGGGACACAGAATCGTTACTCAGGGACACAGAATCGTTACTCAGGGACACAGAATCGTTACTGAGGGACACAGAATTGTTACTCAGGGACACAGAATCGTTACTCAGGGACACAGAATCGTTACTCAGGGACACAGAATTGTTACTCAGGGACACAGAATCGTTACTCAGGGACACAGAATCGTTACTCAGGGACACAGAATCGTTACTCAGGGACACAGAATCGTTACTCAGGGACAGACACAGAATTGTTACTCAGGGACACAGAATTGTTACTCAGGGACACAGAATCGTTACTCAGGGACACAGAATCGTTACTCAGGGACACAGAATTGTTACTCAGGGACACAGAATCGTTACTCAGGGACACAGAATCGTTACTCAGGGACACAGAATTGTTACTCAGGGACAGACACAGAATTGTTACTCAGGGACACAGAATCGTTACTCAGGGACACAGAATCGTTACTGAGGGACACAGAATTGTTACTCAGGGACACAGAATTGTTACTCAGGGACACAGAATTGTTACTCAGGGACACAGAATTGTTTACTGAGGGACACAGAATTGTTACTGAGGGACACAGAATTGTTACACAGGGACACAGAATTGTTACTCAGGGACACAGAATTGTTACTCAGGACAGACACAGAATTGTTACTCAGGGACACAGAAATCGTTACTCAGGGACACAGAATCGTTACTCAGGGACACAGAATCGTTACTCAGGACACAGAATCGTTACTCAGGGACACAGAATCGTTACTCAGGGACACAGAATCGTTACTCAGGGACACAGAATTGTTACTACAGGGACACAGAATTGTTACTCCAGGGACACAGAATCGTTACTCAGGGACACAGAATCGTTACTCAGGGACACAGAATTGTTACTCAGGGACACAGAATTGTTACTCAGGGACACAGAATTGTTACTCAGGGACAGACACAGAATTGTTACTCAGGGACACAGAATGTTACTCAGGGACACAGAATCGTTACTGAGGGACACAGAATCGTTACTCAGGGGACACAGAATTGTTACTCAGGGACACAGAATTGTTACTCAGGGACAGACACAGAATTGTTACTCAGGGACACAGAATTGTTACTCAGGGACACAGAATCGTTACTCAGGGACACAGAATCGTTACTCAGAGGGACACAGAATCGTTACTCAGAGGGACACAGAATTGTTACTATCTCAGGGACACAGAATGTTACTCAGGGACACAGAATCGTTACTGAGGGACACAGAATCGTTACTCAGGGACACAGAATTGTTACTCAGGGACACAGAATTGTTACTGAGGGACACAGAATCGTTACTCAGGGACACAGAATCGTCTCAGGGACACAGAATTGTTACTCAGGGACACAGAATCGTTACTGAGGGACACAGAATCGTTACTCCAGGGACACAGAATCGTTACTCAGGGACAGACACAGAATTGTTCACTCAGGGACACAGAATCGTTACTCAGGGACACAGAATTGTTACTCAGGGACACAGAATCGTTACTCAGGGACACAGAATCATTGAATTAAAGAGTATGTCAGACAACACGCAGAGGAGTGGCAGAGGAGGCAATGTTTCAGGAGCGAGCAGACGTGGCAGCAGAGGAAAGGGTCGAGGCAGCACTAGTCGCAGCCAGAGGCCAGTGCTCCCGGTGTCATCCAGCGGTCGTGTCTCCACCGACAACCCTGCCGTCATCGATTGGTTGGCTCGGTCGTCTTCCTCTTCCCAGGTCACCTCTGACACCTACAGCCAACGGTCGGTGGGTACGTCAGACACAACCGTTAGTTGGCATGGCCCGCTGGAGCAAGCCCACTGAAATCACGTGTCCTCTACCTGCCCCTGTCCCTTTGGTGTTCCCTCACCAAGCGAAGTATCGCATGCTGTGGGCTCAGCCCCACTGTACAGTGAGGAAGAGCTAACAGAGGGTGGTCAGGAACGGGGGGAGACATCCGCCTCTTCAGCAGCCAGGCGAAGAAGTACTGGCGAGGAGAGTGGCTCGGTAGCCGGTCTAGAGACAGGTCTGTCTCCTGACCCACACGCAGCCGAGGGGGCTAGTAGTGAGGCGGAGACCCTAATTGATGATGATGAGGCTGATCGCACTTGGCAGCCTCGTCGTCATCTGCCAGGCCCGTAATCTGCCATGGGCCCCCGTACCGACTCCTCATGCTGCTGCCAGGCCCGTAATCTGTCATGGGCCCCTGTACCGCCTCCTCATGCTGCTGCCAGGTCCAGAGTGTGTCATGGGTCCCTGTACGGCCTCCCATTGCTGCTGTCTCCATCGCCACACTCTGCCATGTGCCACTTTCAGGTCTCCTCACACTGCTGGTGGGTTCCATTTTGTCATAGGGTGCTGGCAGATTACGGGCCTCCCATTGCTGCTGCCAAGCCCGTAATCTGTCATGGGCCCCTGTACCGCCTCCTCATGCTGCTGCCAGGTCCAGAGTGTGTCATGGGTCCCTGTACGGCCTCCCATTGCTGCTGTCTCCATCGCCACACTCTGCCATGTGCCACTTTCAGGTCTCCTCACACTGCTGGTGGGTTCCATTTTGTCATAGGGTGCTGGCAAATTACGGGCCTCCCATTGCTGCTGCCAGGCCCGTAATCTGCCATGGGCCCCCGTACCGACTCCTCATGCTGCTGCCAGGCCCGTAATCTGTCATGGGCCCCTGTACCGCCTCCTCATGCTGCTGCCAGGTCCAGAGTGTGTCATGGGTCCCTGTACGGCCTCCCATTGCTGCTGTCTCCATCGCCACACTCTGCCATGTGCCACTTTCAGGTCTCCTCACACTGCTGGTGGGTTCCATTTTTGTCATAGGGTGCTGTATGGCCTCCCATTGCTGCTGCCTCCACCACCACACTGTGGCTCCACACTCTGGTTTTGGCCCCGTGACTGCCCAAATGAGTGAAGTGTGCGGTGATTCTAAGATCGACGGCACTCATCTGCATGTCATACTGACTGACAGTATTATTTCTCTTCCCCAGCAGACTCCAAGGGCATTTAAATTAAAGGTACAGTGTTCTGCACTAATATAAAGGCTCTCTGAAGCCTAGAAACACCCTTTTTATAAGTTAAATTCGCAGCGAATATATTCGACTCGAATCAAATTTATTCCGCGAATTCGCCGAATCAGCCGAATCGAATTTTTGAATAATTCGCTCATCTCTATTTGACATGATTCTGCAAGTTTACGGCAATCCTGCAATGAATCTTTTGAGGTGTTGTGAGTGGCGCATGTGCTTTAAGAGCAGAAGAACATCACTGGAAGACAACGAGAGATCAGGAAGACCTTCAATGAGCTCAACCGTCGAAAATGTCAAAACCATTTGGCATTTGTACATGTTGAGAATCATTAGTGGTGATGAAACTTGGGTGTACGGGTTTCAAACAGAATTTCAATTTTTCTTTTTGTTCTAACTTGCTATCCATGATGAAATAGCAGATGGTCAGAATAGCACCAGTTACACAGCTCCCGATGTACACAGGACAATGTATTTTGGCACACTGGCTTATGAAGGTCGGTGCTCCCTGTGACTGTGCATGCAGCCTTGTGCTGCCATCTGTTGGCATGTTACAAAACTAGTCTTGAAACTTTAGGGTACCACCTCGTATTCTAATAGTCTGTTTACCTCCCATACCAGGTGAAGGCAGATATACTCACCTAAGTACCCCATCCAGGTCCCTCACTGTTACCAGTTCTGATGTAGGGGACTGCTTATCCATCACTCCAGTGGTGATGTTGTCTCCTACTCTCTTTTGAGAGAATCCTGTCAATGGCCATCTAAGAAGAGGAGGAAACTCTGGCCAGGGATATTACATGATCGCAGCGGCAAAGAAGTTTACAAGGGGATTTCATTATTTATTTTAAATAATTTTACTAATTGAGTCAGCTTGAGGGGGGGGGGTGGGAGGTGAAATCCCAAAGTGGGGCTTAAATTCAGATTATTGACAAAAAGTATTGCAACTAGAGAAATTTAAATACATTTTATTGTTCCTTTTTAATTTTTACACTGATCTTTTACAACTCATCAAATCAACAGCAACGTGAAATAATAAAGTCCTCCCATGGGATGCTATCTTTGTAATCTCACTGATTGGGATAAATAGAGCTCAGTGGTCTGAGAAGTGGTCCTACTGACAAGGCAATGATGGGAACCATTTCTCAGCAAGCTTTCTGAGAATTTTCCAGAAAAGACTTCAGGGAAGACTTTGCTGGCTTTGACTGGGCTTTAGGAGCACATGCTAGGCATAAAACAAGGGAGAAATGAGGGAAATCGAGGGGGTGGATTTGTTAGCAGCTGTGATGTTTTATCTTAGCAGAAGATTTTCCCAAGGTGGGGTTTAGCAATCTGTCCATTTGTTAAATCAGTTTTCCGGAAATGCAAGAAGATACTTGTCCAATATTTAATTTGCTGCCTGAATTATCCAAAACTTAGATATGCTAAGTGTAGGGTATGTTTTTTGAAAATTAACACTTTTACTGTTTCACTAAAAATCATTAAAGTTCTAGATAACTTCCACACAGATGTCATGACTCATATCAGTCGTGTTTGCTAGCCGAGTCTGCTGACCACCTGCAATCAACAAAGACCTTTAACATCAGTCTTAAAGTTGTGAAATTGTAATAACAAGCCTATGTGCCACACAGGAGCAGCCACTGGTAATGAACGGCGGTTTACAAGATATCCTGTTTGGACAAATGACCTGGAACTATTTTCTCTTTTTGAATAGTGGTCAGTTGGTGGTCAAATTAGTTTGTATGCTTTGTATTGTAGAAATAATTTATCAGCATTTCAAAGGAGAAAATAAAATTGATCGGAAGATCTTGACTGAAATCCCTCAAAGGGAAACATCAATTTCATGTTTTGACATTTTGTTTGGACAAATGACCTGTAACTATTTTCTCTTTTTGAATATTATTATTATTATACAAGACTTATATAGCGCCAACAGTTTGCTCAGCGCTTTACATTATGGAGGGAGACAGTACAGTAACAATACAGTTCAATACAAGAGGGATTAGAGGGCCCTGCTCCTTGGAGCTTACAATCTAGGATAGTGGTCAGTTGGTGGTCAAATTAGTTTGTATGCTTTGTATTGAAGAAATAATTTATCAGCATTTCAAAGGAGAAAATAAACTTGATTTGGAAGATCTGGACAAAATCCCTCAAAGGGAAACATCAGTTGCATGTTTTGACATTTTGTTTGGACAAATTACCCTATTAACTATTTTCTCTTTTTTTAATAATGGTCAGTGGGTGGTCAGATTAGTGTGTATAAGGGGCGGACTGACCATTTAGCTACCTGGGCATTGCCCGAAGGCCCTGGGTCAGTAGGGGGCCCCATGAGATGCCCTTGGTACCTTTCATAGGCTTTTGGGTGTGGTTTGAGTGTGGGCAAGGACACAAGGGGCTCCATGATTTCCTATTGCCCGGGGCCCCATAAGTTGTCAGTCTGCCCCTGGTGTGTATACTTTTTATAGTAGAAATAATTTATCAGCATTTCAAAGGGAAAAATAAAATTGTTCAGAAGATCTGTAAGGAATCCCTCAAAGGGAACCATCCATTTCTTGTTTTGCCATTTAGCACTATGAACAAACAATGAACAATGCAATAGACAGGGATGGTTTGATTAAAGTCACATTATCTCCATTTATGTATTCTCTATTCATATATCCAGCAAGGGATAGATAAGGTGTATACAGCAGAACATTGTACATCTAAGTAAGGAAAAATAGTCAAAGTTATTCCTAATTTCATAATTTGCCTCTCAGCGTCAATGGGTGCACTCCCTCATTTGTAAGCTCCAATGACAAGAAACATAGGAGGAAGGAGAAAAAAGATAAACACAGGACAAATAACTGTTTGCCAGCATCTAGTTATCAGTATTGCCTGTAGGTCCCTGAAACTGATCTTTTCTCCATTACTACTGGCCTTCCCTGTCATGTTTTGCATTGTGTCTCTGTGTGGCCAAACTGGGAGAGTCAGGGCTTTGCTTCTTATTGTCAGAGTTGCCGCCCAGATGACTAGTGATAAATGTGAGAAAATACTGTAGCACTACCTCCTTAGGAGTTGCTGAATTATTTTCAGGTTCCCTGTCGCTCTTGACTCCACTCTGACAGCCCAACCCCTGCTGATGCCGCCATACACTTCTGGCCAGAGTAAACCCTCTGAATACCAGAAAACAGACTCAGCACAGTAAAGCAACATAGAGTAATAGGAGTGCAAATAATAACAGCTATCACTCTCTCACTTTGACCCAGAAGACCTCAGTTCTGAGATGTCTCCTTCCCCAGTGAGCAAAAAAAAAAACTACCAAAAAGTAAGGCTAGCTCACTTTGGGCCCTCAGAAGCTGTTGACCCTGTCAAGTAGTTCAGGCGATGGAGAAAAGGTCCCTGATAAGATCAGGTATACCTGACGCCATGTAGCTGAAGTGCTCGGAATGCATGACTTGTCTCATATGCAGCAGAGTGCCAGTACTAGTGCCTCACTACCTTTCGGTGAACTGGTGAGCACCAGTGGGCTAGTACATCCTGGTCTTTTTCTTACCAGTACTGTCATATCATTTGGTGACATAGCGAATTCCATAAGTGCAGTACAAGCTGGTGTGGTGGCGAGCACAAGTAGCATCCTGCAGCCTCCAAGCTTTCGCACACAGACCCGTAGAGCCTATAGCATCCTTCCAGACATGCTTTCAAATCCTGATTGGCAGCCCACAGATTCTGCAACACCCATACTTACCCCGTTCACTGCCCAAACCGGAAACCAAACATTTAACTACTCCCCTTGTTTTTATGCAGCTGTTTTTCACAGATTTGTACAATTTGATTGTGGGCCAAAGCAATTTATATGCACAATATATTGGCATCAACCCAAATTCTCAAGGAAATCTATTATGATTTTCGAATGCAAAACTTTTTTGGGCCTAACCCTCAACATGGGCATTAAAAAAAAGAATGAGTTGCGGTCATATTGGTCTACAGATCCAATTCATCATATGCCCATGTTCTCTTCTGCCATGACCAGGCATAGATATGAAACGATAATGTGCTTCATGCATTTCAGTGATAACACACTCTGTCGTTCTCAGGGTGTCCCTGAAAATGACTGGCTCTACAAAATTCGTCCCCTCATAAACCACCTCACTGAGAGATTTGCAGATGTGTATACGCCCCAGCAAAACATCTGCATGGATGAGTCCCTCGTTCACTTTACTGGCCACCTTACATTCAAACAGTACCTCCCCAACAAGTGTGCCAGATCTGGGGTCAAACTGTATAAGCTCTGTGAGAGGGTCACATGCTATACATATAGTTTTAGGGTTTATGAGGGAAGAGAAAGTGAAGTAAAGTCCCCTGACTGCCCAGACTACACGGGGAGCAGTGGCAAGATAGTTTTGGACTCTGTGTCGTCTTTGTTCCATAAAGGGTACCACTTATATGTGGACAATTTCTATACCAGCGTGCCACTATTTAGACATACCCGAAAGTCTGCTTGAGAAATGATGAAAATGCTTGCACTGAAGTGGAAGGACAAACGGGATGTTTTCAACCTGTCTTCTATTCATGCAAACACGACAGTCCAAATTAGCATGGCATATGGCATTGTTGAGAAACCTCTCTGTGTCCACGACTATAACCTAACATGGGAGGGGTGGACTTCAATAACCAAATGATGAATCTGTAACTAGTTTCCCAGAAAGCTCGACACTGGAACAAAAAAGGTGTCTATTTATTTCAATTGACTATATATAACGCTTTTTTAATTTACAAAGCAACTGGATGAAGTGGATCTTTCCTAAAATTTCAGGAAGAGATCATCACAGCCCTTTTGAATCCAGAAGGTGCTGTGGCCCAATCGCTAAATCCAGATGAAGTTAGCTGACTGAATGAGAGGCATTTTCCCGGATGTCCTGTCTTGTACCCCAATCCAAAGGTCACCCCAAATAAGATGTTGTGTCTGTAGCAGACACGGAATAAGACGCAACACATGCTTTTTTTGTCCCTCCTGTCCTGGTCAACCTGGTCTCTGCCTC